GTCATGGACGCAAATGATGCAGACATCTTCTGCTGCAGGTGCTCTAGCAGCGCGTTTTTGTAATTTAAAAACGCTTCTAGACGCGCGCCAATTGCCTCGGGGACTTGTGCCGCAAGGTGTTGCACGCCCTCAGGACCAAGCAAGGACATCAGCTTGTTAAGCCCGTCCTGCATGCCCTGGGGCAAAGAGGAAAACTGCCTCATCCTCACAGAGAATCAGTCTAAACGACTCAGGTGTGGATTGACTACAAGTGCTACCAAGTGCAGCGGGGCTGCCGTAGCGTTGTGCTTAGAGGAAGCGTAATTTAGGTCACCGACCTTTCGTTCTACACTAAGAACAAGTACGAGTTAGCAGATCGCAATCCGCTTACTCCAAGAGTAATTGCCTTGACCCAAGGCTAATCACTCTTCCGTTTAAATTTAAAACTGATTCTTATTTACTTTAATCTGCGGCAAAGCCGTCTAATTTTAAATGTATAAATTTTTCCACATATACAGTAAAATCTAAGTACATGCATAACTACTGGCTACCTAGCCACAAACCGTATTCTTGTTTGGGTGCAGTCACACCAGGCCCATCTCGTGTTACACACAGCCTTGTGACATGGATACGTGTAACACCGTTATAGTATGCATTTGATGATGGGTGCAAACCGTAGTATACTTATGTCACTGATGTCACTACAGACAATATTGTCACCATTGTCTTTCAAACCAGAGGCCAAGCTCAAAGATTATTACAACAATGCATCATGATTTACACCGGCATGGATTAGAGTACTGGGTTTTCAGAAGGAGAGTTCCCTGTGACACACATGAGCTATGCATTACGTAGGTTATCTAATACTTTTAAGAGTAAAGTATGATAAAATAGAGCAGGCCCTACTTGCGCCTAGTTTGAGTAAGCCCATTTTTTCGTGTACTATTGAGTATCGCTGCGTTAATCAAAGCTTCCCTTGTTCAAGGTGCACAACAAACCCATCGTAAAACCTTACTGGTGTTACTTATTATATCACCAGCCACCTTGGCCCTTGGTTCTCAATTCCTTACCCATCTAAGAACTGGCGCCGTTTCACACTTGTAATCTTCCACACGGCTCAAGTCAGCGGAGGACTACCCAGGCTCGTGCCGTCCGAGTCCAGATGGTATCCCGAGTGTGCTCGATAACTGGATATGAAAATCGAAGTTTCTTTTGATGCATTGATTGTATGAATCAATCCGACATTGAAGACATTGAAGTCGCAGTGTGATAAAAAGAGCCGTCAATGCTCTTTCTTACTGCAGACCGTTTTGTTTAGACATTGAAGCCGCAGTGTGATAAGATGAGCCGTCAATGCTCTTTCTTACTGCAGACCGTTTTGTTGCTTTGGACTTACAGAACGAAACCCAATCTGCATTTTCTTTGCTTGTTTTTTGACGAAATTGATAGCGCGATAATTAAGGTTTAAAAGGCCACACTTTAACGATATAATCTTTTTACGGGATGGTGTGGAAATGCTCAACATTTAAAGAAAGTGATCATTGAAGTGTCGGTATAATACATCTCAAAGGTACATTATCAACTCAAAGCCGCTCATCGATCAAGCTAAAGATACCGGAGAAGGCATTAAGCTATCCTATAGCAAACTGAGAACTGAGACTGTTCGCCTCTACTATTTCCACGAGTGCTGAGACAGTCGGTTGTTGACAAAAATGACTTTTATCGAAGAAAGCTACGTTTCAGCATTACTTGAGGGCATTGCGTTATGGACATAGTTGCCATAAAGTGATCCCGCTTGCCTGATCAGCGTAATTGACAAATTAGAGAAGGAATGATTCCTCTGCGACTGCTGATCAAAAACAAAATTTACAACAGAATCAAGCTGCAGTTGCAGCAAAAGCATACGCCGTCAATTTCCCATTTAACGAGCATTCTTGCAAACTCGAATGGCTTACAAATATCGTTTAATTTGACTCTTTGCGTCAAATTAATTGACCATCATAGTATTTCTAATCACTTTCTTGATAAAGTTATATCAGCGACAATGGATTGAGGAGTCAACGCTTGCAGCTCAAAGCGCTAAGCTCGCTTCGATACGTCAACGCCAAATTTGCTGAAGATCTGCGTGCCTGGACATGAGTAATATAACAAGATCGACAAACAGTAAGGTACAGGATCTGGATAGTCATCATCATACTCAGAAGGAGCCAAACATCTAGCAAAATTGGTGGTGATAAAAGCTTTGTGTGGTATCTCGCCTAGTAAGCACACTACGTAATAATTGATCGTTTCATTCTTGGTCGGGTCGAAATGTTGAAAAAAAAATTTCAACATTTCGACCCGACCAAGAATGACACGATCAGTTATTTAGAATTTGCTTTGGAACTATCACCAACATGTGGATCTGGTGGGTTTACAAAGAACTGTCTAGAGCAACACGTCTCACTATCCGCTATGAAATCACTATCATGATCCTTCTGCGGTGCTTGCGGCCTTACAATTTGCTACGTCAAGACATGCCTACTGGGCTTTTTGGTGCTTTCTTTTTTCAGTTCAGTCGCGTGAAGTATGGCATATGGTGAGTTGGCCACCACACATCCGTTTTTAATGCTTGGATCCCACTCAAAGCAGCATCGTACAATTTTCTTACAAAATTCTCGTCGCTCTCTACTGCAAGATTGAATGCGAGACTTACAAGACAGTTGTTGAGATTACACCGCTGAATGCAAGCTGAAAAGGCAGATGACGTCACCATAGTTACGAACACGTCACAGTAAGTGGTTTCATAATGGTTGGCGTTCATTGGTCTAGATAAATCAGGATGCTTATAGGAGCTTCTAGAAGGATCTAGAAAGACAGACTTAGAGGTAGCACAGAGTAGCGAACTCAGGACCTTAATATATTCACTTCGGTTCTTACCTGTAATACTCAACAGGTTAACAGCCGCACCAAGCATGTCTCTATAAGCAACGTCCTCGCCCACTATGGCTAACAAGCGAACTGAAGTCCTCCTAGGGAGTGGTAACTACTACCACTGGGAGTTCAACATGAGGATGATTCTGGCGCGGAAGGGTCTCCTGGGGCACATCATGACCGTCAAGGAAGAGAGTGACGTCACGGAGGCCTGGCTAGTAATAGTAAATGATGCCAAGGCGCTCGGCATCATCGCTGAAGGCGTTGAGATCTAGCACCAGACCAAGATTTGGTCGGCTACGCGCGCCATGGAAGCAAGGGGGACCCTCCGCGATTTCTACAGTCGCTCGACTCTTCACAACCGTGTGGTGATAACTCACGATTGCACGAGTTCAGGATGGAAAGTGGGACAAGCATGGCAGAGTATCTGGACTCTTTTGATGAGCTGGTAGTGGGAATCCAGACTATGGGAGAGCCAGTTGATGAGTCACGTCAACTGGTGGTACTTCTCAGCAGTCTGCCGTCAGAGTGTGACTTAATGTCGTCGATTGAGGAGAATATAAAGGGCATCACATTGATTGAAGTCAAGGAGAAGCTGCTCAAGGAATCGGAGAAGCTGCAAAGGAAGGAACTTACGGGGAAAGCGTTTCGCGTAAATGAAAACTCTAGAAGGTTCAAAGGTGGACGGGACAATGGAAGAAACGGTGGTCCTTCACGCAATAACAGCGGATGTAAGGGCAAGTGCTTTAGCTGTGACCAGTTTGAGCACAGGAAGCGGAACTGCCCGGCCAGTAAGAGGTCCGACAGCGACGACACGTTGTTTGCTGTTGGTTAAAAAATCATCAGGATGGCTGATTGACAGTGGGGCAACTTCCCACATGACCCCACACAGGAAGGACTTGTTGTATTACAAGGGCCTGTAAGCTAGCATTGAAGTTACGATTGCAAATGGGAAGAAGTTGCTTGTTAAAGGAGCTGGCACGGTGAAACTGACTGGATTGGACGGAAAGGGCAATTGCATGGTGGAAGTTTTGCACATTCATGGACTCGACAGAAAATTACTATCCGTTGGTAAGCTTGCAGAGCGTAGAATGAGTGTGGAGTTCTCGCGGTCGTCTTGCGTCATCTGGAACAAGAAGTAAGCGATTGCGTCAGGTACAAGAGTCGGGAAGTCGTATTTGCTTCACTGTGGGCAAGAGGAAGCATGTCGCATTGAATTTTCTGGGGCTGACAATCAGTGGGAGCTTTGGCATGCTCGCATGGGACACCCCAGCAAGGACGCGTTGGTCAAGACACAACGCTCAACAAAAGAAATTCCAATTATCGAGCAAAATGAGGAAACATTC